AAAAAAAAAAAAAAAAAAAAAAAAAAAAAAAAAAAAAAAAAAAAAAAAAGCTCTATCAAGAGTTAAAGGCCTAGTTGTCTACCACCAAAACACCAACTGCACTTGCCATAAAGCCAAGGATTCTTCATAGTCAAGTTCTTGACGGTGATAGAAATAAGACAACTTGTGAGGAAAAGTTCGGACTTCACAAAAAGAAGGGTGGTGGTGGGGGGGGTGCGATTTGAGACACATGGAAGACAGGATTCCGAGCTGTACAATATGTACCAATCCAGTTGTAAGGAGCTGGAGATAGAATGTATTCTGTACTTAAATCACAGCCACCAAGGTTATCTTTGGCTCGTTTGAGCATGAGGCATTTATTAAGTGTTTGGAAGGATGATCATATATGTTATCTGAGATAATTAAAAACATGTGAAAACAGATTTGATAAATAAGAAATGATACGGAGAACATATATGTTACATGCATACATTATCAACGTTTTCAGGATTGTCAAAACCACGTTCCACAACCGTACGCAACTGGGGAAACTCTTCCATGGCAAATAATAATGGAGCTGTGATGATTCCCTGTACAAAATTGCCACGTTTAGAATAAGTAAAACAACATGAAGGATCCGAATCTTGCATTTAGAAATCAAAAGGTTCAAAATATTCTTCATTATTTATGTATGTATGGGTGGGGTGGGGGATGGTAAGGAGATGGAATAGATAGACCATCTCTCTCCAGATGTACACTACATCTTTCTCTAAATTCATTGCTCGTCCAAATATGATACTAACATTAATTAGTAGCTACGTTATCTAGAAAGTGATTTCCCTCCTCAATACCCTTAAAAAATGATACATGGTGTTTTCTCCACAAAATCAATCCCGAAGCATGGAGAAAAAAAGAGAGAACTAATACCCACCAACTTAACTACCAATACAAGGAAGCTCGAAGTCTCTGAAAAAAATGTGGTTTGTGGGTTTTCTTTGGGAACTTAGCATGGAAAGATGAAGGTGCATGACAAGTTGAAAAAAAGGTTTACTTTTTGGACCTTATCTCGCATAGACGTAGTCTTCTAAATCAAAGCAGCCAATCTAAAGAACATGTTTGGACCTTACCTCACATGTGATCTCTTTGAAAGGTGTGGGGATTCTGTTTTCTAGTTAAGTCGTGGAGTAAGGATTAGGAATTGGGAACTTGAGATTACTTAATGGGACCCTTCTAGAGAAATGGTTGTGGCACTTATTCATGGATAGTGATATTTTGTGGCATAAATTCATTGAGTATGCATGGTGATCACCCTTTTGAGTGCGTTGCTAGCAGGGGCACCAATTACCCTAGTAACCACCTGTGGAAAGTCATTGCCTCGAGTTTCCCTTCCTTTTCTCAATTTATTAGATGTTATTTTTGGAAAGGCTCGAGTGTGTATTTCTGGGATGACTGTTGGATGGCAGATAAGCCCCTTCATGAGGTGTTCCCGTGTTTATATCATATTTTGGGCAAGAAGTTACATTGTATGGCTTCCATTTTACCAACTTTTGATCCTTCCTATCTGTTGTTTTTGGGTTTTGTCACCCTCTTTCTAATAGAGAGGCGTCAAATGTGATGGACCTTCTTTCTTTTATTCGTGATCAAAACGTGTTTCGAGAGCGAAAGAACCTTAGGTTCGGACCCTTGATGCTACTCTTGTTCTTCTTTCCATTTGTTGTCTATTCTTGTTTAACATAATTCTTTAAATATCTTTCAAATCCAATCAACATTTTTGGTTTTTAGGAGAATGCCCTATCCTCCTCTTTGTGAACTTTTTGGTTCATGAAATTGTTTCTTATCCAAATATTGATAAATTAAGTAACAGTTAGCATAATCGTGTTATAAATTTTCAGATGCAAAAATATACACAAAAAGATTACGTGGCGTATATCTGATAAAGAACCCTTTCCAAGTGAAGCTGAAGTCCCAGTGAAGTCGAGAACATCATCGATCAGTTGATACGCTAACCCCTGTGAGAGAGAGAGAGAGATCAGCCATAAGAAAGAAACATCATAACTTCAATGCTCTGCCAAATGACACGAGAGAAGAGCATCGAATGATGTGCACCTTCTATGTAATATAGGAATGCAAATACAGCAGAACTTTAAAGGAAAGCCTCCTTGCAGTAATCATTTTGGTATAAATGATTTTTCAAAACAAAAAAAAAGTTAGGGAAAAGAATTTTTTTTTTTAAAAAAAAGAACCATTAAGTCAGAGACAGAGTAAGCTTGCATATAGGGGGAAGAATCTAAGAATATCCATCCTTCATATGAGAAGCTAGTGCTGTATCCTAAGTAAAAATGTTTAGTCTCTATTCTGAAGACATGCCCGAAATTAATAAGAGTTTTTGCAATAAGTGCGCACTTTAACAAGGCTCTAGGAAGAGGGGGGTTAGATTGAGAACAAAAAACGAAAGAGCTAAAGTAATCATATACCAGATTTTTTCCATACTCATAAGCCAACATTGCGACTTCTGCTGTTTGCCCAGCAAGAAGGGCTACAGATTTGCAACTGTTAGAAATCAATGATGCAGTCTTATAATACGTCTTCTGCATGTAATATTCCATGCTGCAATTGAGAATAGTTCGAAGTCAAAACACAAATAGCAATAAGCATTCAAATGGTATGTGCTGTATAGAAGTTCGCCAATGCACATTTAGAAGACAAATTATAAGATGTTAAAGCATTCAGAGTCTCGTGAACTTCACTGACATCAAAAAACTAGGAAGTTCAAT